CTTTGTGGGTGAAGCTTTTTAGGTGAAGCTTTGTGGGTGAAGCTTTTTTAGGTGAAGCTGTTTGGGTGAAGCTTTTTAGGTGAAGCTTTGTGGGTGAAGCTTTTTTAGGTGAAGCTGTTTGGGTGAAGCTTTTTGGAGGTGAAGTTTTTTTTTTTTTTTTGGCGCTTGACACGGTTTTGATCATGCATGTAGTGATAGAATTTGTTTCTTCTTATTGTAGATGTCAGAGCCTGGAAGTTCTAGTGATGAGGGCTCTTCTAGCTTTAGCTCTAAGTCTGAGTCTGCAATGTCGGAGTCTTCAGGGTCTTTGTTAGAGTCCTGTACTAGAGAAACATTGGATGATCTTCCCAACCGTCAAACTTTAGCTATTGCTAGTTCTTCCTCCATGGCGTTGGGTGAGGGGGTTTCTCCTGATATGTCTTTGCCTCGGCGGAGGCATGGTTATAAGCCTGCGCCATCACCTCAGAGTAAGTCTTCCAAGTATTGGCATTGATCATGTATTTAAAGAAACAATCACGTAGGCCTGCCGTGAAGGCTTTGAGGGCAGTCTTGTCGTCTGCCTCGGCACACCGGGAGTATTCATGGCTGAAGCGGCCAGCATACATACGTAATGACTCGTCTGGCCTCTGGCGGATAGTGTACAGGTCATCTGCAGAGTGCAAGCGATCGGTTTGGAAAATGTGTTGGGAAACAAATAGTTTCCTCAATTCCTCAAATGAGTCTACCGTCTCAGGTGTAAGACGACAATACCAATTTAGAGCTCCGCCAGAGAGGGTGGAGGGGAAGAGAAGACATCGCTCTTCGTCGGTGTGCATCCGGTATGCCATGGTGGACTCAAAGAGGTTAAGGTGCTCAATCGGGTCCTCTTTTCCAGTATAAAGTTGCAAGCCAAGCTTCTGCTTTGTCTTTGCTTGAAGGGGGGTGTTGAGGATCCTCCTTGTAAGAGGGCCAGGCCTGGGTTGGTTCCAGTCAGGTATTTCAGCCTGACGTTCAGCCTTCAACTTGTTTACTTCCTCAAGAAGTTGTAGGACAAGGGGGTCCTGAGCGGAGTTATGTGCCACTGGAGCTTTCTTTCGTAAATCTCCATCTCCTCTTGGAATTAGGAAGGTTTGATCAAAGGCATGTGATTTTTCCCTGGACTCGCTGTACTGGCTTCCAAGGTATGTCTGTCGGAACACCTCTGAGTCCCCTGTACCCTCATGTCTCTCTAGGACTTGTTGCACCTTCCCCAAGTTGGTGGCCGGCTCGGGCCGTGGCAGGGGACCGAGTCTCTCAGAAATCCTTGGGTCATTGATCTTTGAGCTTATATGGATGGAATTCTCTCGACGTTGCTTCAGGAAATCCCGACAATCGCGAAAGACGGCTTTCGATCCTTCTGCCCCTTCAGCAAAGAGGTGTCTCCCTCCGCTTCTCATGGTTCGGGTCGAAGCAACTGGGTTAAAAGAGAAGCCTCATGTTGATTATCAAATCGAGGGGTAATTTGTTCCCTATCAGGGATATCTATGTCGAATGCATGTGACCCTCCATGTTGGAGGGCACCCAGTTGATGGTTAACTTCCACGGGGGCAACAAGCTCGCGTGTCTGAGCTTGCCTAGCTTCGTGAAGTGTCTCGAAGAGCTTCTCATATTGCTCCTGGAGGACCTCATTCCTCATTGCTATCTTGTTGTTCTGAGCTTCCAACTCATCGACTTTAGCTTGAAGAAGAACTCGTTTTCCTTCCTTCTTTCGTTGTTTCGCACTATGTGCAAGGGGGGTGTCATTCTGTGTGCTGTGGCTTCCTTCGCTTCCCATGCTGGAGAGGGATGCCTGATCAAAAGAAAGTGTACGAATGATAGAAACCAGCTTGACACAGCTGAAGAGAGTAGGAATAAGTGTCGTTTCCCACAGACGGCGCCAAATGTTGATGCACAAAATCAGCGAAGACTTTGGTACAACAGAAAGTGTCAGGTTTTATGACCTTCGCTTGGTTGCTTCGGTCACTAGTGAGGATAAGTACGTAAATGAATAGAGACAGAGAAGCAAACACAGGATGTACGTGGTTCACCCAGATTGGCTACGTCCACGGAGTAGAGGAGTTCTTATTAGTAGTGAAGGGCTTACACAAGTACAAAGGATCAAGCTCTCAATTTAGTGAGTTCTTGTGAATGATTTAACATAAATGGCATTCGGCAATATTGTGGGGGAATGACCCATATTTATAGAAAAACTTGTAGCTTTGTCATTGACATGTGTCATGTTATGATTGGTTCTTGATGTCGACACGTGCTGCGCTCTGATTGGCTTCTAATCTTGACACGTGTCGAGTAGTGATTGGCCTCCTGGTCGGAGGGGAACTCTTCTGGGTCCTTGACAGTATAGCGTTGGCCGGTGCTCGGTAGTTTCGGGATTGGTCAAGTATGGTACAAACAAATTTCATAAGTCTGGTGATTATACACTTTAAAATTTCATAAGTCTGATAGTGATTATACACTTAATTTGTTATATTTGATTATATAAGTAGTTAGTATAATTTTGCAATATCTTTCACAGTTGGCGCCGTAGATAAGTAAAGTATCAACAAAGAAAGTAACATTTTTTGTTATTGGAATGTTTGGAATCTCATTTGACATCATAATTTTCATAAGTTTGATAGTGATTATACACTTAATTTGTTATATTTGATTATATAAATAGTTAGTATAAATTTGCAATATCTTTCACAGTTGGCGCTGCAGACAAGTGAAGTATCAACAAGGAAAGTGACATTTTTTGTTATTGGAATGTTTGGAATCTCATTTTACGGCATAAGTGTTCTTTTATTTTTCCTTCTATTTGATGCTCTGCTTAAGTGCTGAAGGACTTAAGCATCTTTCTGTTCTTCAACCCTATCTAATCACGCACGATTAATCTTTTTTATATCGTAACCCTGAGCAAAACCAATTCGTCCCAAGTTTGAATAAATGCTTTTGTTTGAAGTTTGTTTAGTGAATCTAATTAATCTTCACTAATAAAATAATAATTTTAGCTAAAGTACATTTCTTGGCATGGCATTGGCAACATATATGTCTTACCAACGTGGATGCGAAGACATCACTGATCTTTCCAAGCCAGCTAATTTGTGTGTTGCGTTTCAAGCAAACTAGTGTCAATAATGTAATGACAAAACAAAAGGGATGCTAAAGGGAGTCAATATTGTAACTCTAATGTTAGAGCATTTATCTTTACGTCGCGATAAAAGTTAGGATTTTCATTCTTTTATTTTTATGGTCTCACGCATTTTTGAGCAAGGCTAGCCAAAATTTGTTTATATTTGACCTCAAATGACACAAAAATTGTTTGTGGTTAACTATTTAAGTTGCAATAGCCGGACCACCTGGCTATGCGACCATATTCACAGATAAGGGACTTTACAGCAATATTCACACTCATGGGGGACCTGTATTTGGTCTCCCTCACCCTTGGTTGAGTAATTTCAAGTGTATGCTGAATATCGCCACATGGTTATATTACTCAAATTATATTACTGTTTTTATTTTTTAAGTAATATATCTTATGAGTGTCACATATTAATTATGTCGCTCACTCATATTATAACATATAAAATGATAATACCACGTATTTATGTCCACACAAAAATTTCTCAAACTTGTCCTTCCTAATTGTCTCATACTATATAAGTGAATGATCCAGACATAAGATATTTTCTAGTTTTGGCAACCATGTAATATTTAGTAATTTTTTAATGAGATTGAATTACTATGGAAGAGAGAAGAAGATAAAAAGATTGGGCCTTTTTTCTTTCTTTTTTTTTTCCTCTTTTGGCCAACCACTTTTAGCTAGCAATTTCGTTTAAAAGTGTTTTAAAATGATTAAAATTACTTTTGATGAAATTGTTTTTTACATCAATTTTTAGTAAAAATGAAAGTGAATATTAAAAAACACTTGAAGAGCTTTCTGCAAAAATCACATAATTGATGCTTCTTCTAAAAAGCACTTCAAATCTAAATACAATTCCAAAAAGCACCTCATTTTCTTTCAACCATTTTAAAAAAAAACTTCCAAACGAGAATGCTTGTGAATGGTTAATTTGGACTCGTTTTTTCGGGGAGTTCCAATGAAAAATGTTCTGAAAGCAACTTTGCTAGTTTTTTTTTTTTTTTTGGGTAAAATATGCACTTTCCTCAATGGCTTTTAGATCATAAGATCACTTAGAGGAAGAGGATTGAACTTCCATGTTAATTCTAAAAGATAAGCAACCTTTTGGCTGGATGGTGTCAAAAATGGGATTAGATATACAACCAAGGATGAAATAGATGCTAATTTCTGAATTGTCTAGTTTGAAGACAAAGGATAGTAGTCATAAAGAAAACTTATCCCTCCAAAATTCTTCGATGAATCAAAAGTGATTAGTATTTCCCTTATATTCTATCTTAAACTTGGACGAAATTTAGAAGTTGACATCCAGTTTTCATTAATTAACACTCAATATTCTTTAATTCAATCCAGTCTTTCCGCAATTCAGTGCAATCCTTGATACCAAACAAGACCTTTTAAACTCTCAAGGGCTCATTTGATACATATGATTGGATTTGGAATGAAAAAAAATCTCAAATTTGAAGGGTATATTGAAGATGTAAGTGAATGATTTTTAATTTAAAGGGAATTAGAAGAGGATTAGATATTAAGAAAATCAATCCCGACTAATCCTACCATCTTAAGGAAGAGAAGTGAGACGAAAAAAAAGAACCATGGGCACAAAAAGCTGGAAACTGTAAGTTGCGGCAAATAAACAGGCCATGAAATATTTCTAATACCGAAACGATTACATACATTAAAAGGAAAACTGATGAAAAAAAGCTTGAAAACTTTGAGTTTTAATGATAAGGACAAAATAAAGGGTAAAGTGAATAGTACCAGGATTGACTTTTTAGTGTTAAAATGTGGTTTTTTGTTAAAATGAACAGTACCGGAAGCTTTTCGTTAAAGTTCCCTACATTAAAACTAGTTGAAGTCACCACCAAAGTTTGTGGAGAAATATATTGAAGAAACAAAAACTTAATTCGGTTGGTATGGAACTGTAACAGTACAATTTACCATGTGTAGTTGTGTAGTGTGGCTATTTAATTACATGAACCTATCGAAAATGCTGGCTGACCTAAATACTGAAGAGAATAACAAAATGATCAGCTGAAATGCCATAAGAAGTAAAAGGTTACTACGATTCTTAGTATTAAAAAAAAAAAAAGAAAAAAGGAAAAGGAAAAGTCATGTACCTTACAAAGAGATACACCGGGCATCAAGACTTTTGGGTCGCACGAGCATTTTCGGTCAAAGATGACCCTAGCCGAAGCATTAGAGGATAGACAGGGCTGAACTCTTTGTCACCTCGGGCCCTTACATGCGTGGCATAGTCATCTAGTGTTGCTTTGATACCCTTCCATACCTGATCCTCTCCTTGAGAATCTAGCCACAATGAATATTGCAGAGGTGTTAGTTTGTTCCTTTGCAGCGGTGATTGCAATTCATCAGGACCTCGGGAGTAAAGATGGTGAAGTACGACGCTTGGTGGTAGATCTTGAAGAAGAGGAGAACCTCCGAGTTGGGAAGTCTCCAAGAAAATAAGAGGTCGAAATGCTCGAAGGGCTCTGTATGGCGCACCAAGTTGCTCTACTGGGAACAAGTTTTGGCCTACTGCTAATTCTAGCTCAGCCATGTCCCTGGCCATCCTTAGTTTCCCTGATTCTGAAAGGGGTCTGATAAGAGAAGCATGTCTGATAAAGAATATTAAAACCCGTGCAGCCATGCTCCTAACAAGCCTAGTGCAGATGGTCTCTGTTCCAACCGTGGCAGATTTTGGAGGCAAAAGCCTAGACAGGAACTCACTACGGAAGTGAAGAATGCACTTTTGCAACTCCTCCATGTAAGGTGAAACATTGTTGTCCATAGCGGCATCCATGCCTAGCACACCAAATCTCTGTTCATGAATTTGCAAGATGCAAGATTCAAGACGCTCAAGCATAGCTTGGAACAAGGACGTCAGTGAGTCACAAGCAACCCCGTATATTGCACCTAACGAGGGAGACAGCACATCTAACGCAATAGTGGGCAGTCCTGTAACCATAGATGATATGTGTGTATGAATTTCTTGGAGATACTGACATAACATGAAGTTCTTGAGCTGTGCAGGAGTTGCAGGACCATTGACTTGACGTGCTTCAGGACCAGTTGATATCTGCCATTGTGGACATAATAATAGAATGAGAAAAATTGAACAAGGACATACTAATAGAATGAGAAAATTTTGAACACGGGCAAAAAAATCACTTTTCAAAATCAAAGGGTCAGCATACATTTCTATTATATACGTATGCCTTTCAAATGAGTTCCTATAGATCAATCATAGTTATCCGGCATAACCTTTCAAGAGAACTGGCTATCCTTTGACTTACCAATCTTAATAAGAACGTTGACGATTATTTGAAAAATAAATCCACACAGAATAAAATTGATTTATATTTCCTCCATAATGATACATGAACTTGACTTTCCATTAGTCGCATTCAACTGCCTTTCTCTAATTAAGATTAAGCCATCAGATTCACAATATATAGGTATAACAACAACAAAGAAAAACATGACAATTGAGCAAGTGAAACAGCTTGGGCAATGAAATAAATAGACATTGAACTTAACTAATATATTCAGATTAATGGAAACCATATTATTGAGCTCATTACATCTAGCTTTAGACGCCTAGACATCAGTCAAAAGAAGACTAGGATCATGTGTCTACCTTGGGAATATTATGCAAGAACTAAAAGATTACCTGGTACTCAGCTCGTTCACCAAGTAGGAGAAGAACCTTGCCAATTTCACGCAATACAAGAAGAGTCAAGTGCCCATCCAACTGAACAGATTCTATTTCTTCTTGAATCCGTGATATAATTCTTGAGATATGTTCTTTAGAGGGAACACTTCCACGGCTGGACACTGGAAATACAGTATTCACAAGGTCTGACAAGCGACCCAAGCAAAGTCCCAAAAATGATTTTTGGAATATTTCAACAGCTGCAACCAGTTGTTCCTTTCCCTCTGACGTAATAGCCGGTAAAACCCCTTTGACATCTGTGTCGCGTGCAATTCTTTCAAGAAGATTATCTATCATAGAGAAAAGCTTCGGATACCCCATAGTGAAAACCTCTTTAACAAAACTTGATGCAGTGAAAGCAGACTTCATTTGATTGGCAAATGCCTTCACAAGGGCCTCCCACACTCTATCTGTTATCATAGGCTCACCTTCCTAAGCAAGTAATATATAATGTGAGTAAAAGTTATTGCTTTTAGACAGGATGAACAGTAACAATCATTGCCAATATTGTTAGCAATCAAGCAGCGAAGTTATCAGAATTAAATACTAATGGGAAACCTTAATTCAAGTCAGGATAGAACTGCAAGTCAACCATTGCAGAGACAAAAAAAATTTATGCCGATTTTGTAGGTTACTCATTGGTAGCGCAAATCAATAATCGTACACCGAAAATTAACGACATACTTGTAAACCAAAATACAAAGTAAACAAAACAAACTGTAGCAGTTCATGGGTACATTGTGCACATTGATCGCTAACCTAAGTATAACATTGTTACAGATGATCAGAAAAAAGGAAAAAGAACCCAACTTCGAGAGTAGAAGGCGGTTAATGACTGTTCAGACTTCAGTAAGGCCACTATAAGATGATAAATCTTCTAGGAACTGCCAATTAACGGATTAAGTATGACCCAATTCCAGTTTCCAATCTAGTAAAATTGTTTTCATTTATCTGTTAACTAATACAGAAATGAGGAGCACAAGTAAATTCATACTCTCTATCATTCCTACAAAATCAAATAGTCAAGCAATTGAAAAGCAAACCCAATTGGACAACCCCTCTCACCTGAATAACCTCATCAAGCAGCAATACATGAGTAAATGGGTCACGCTTCTTCGACAACACCCTCTGCAAGTGCCACACCGCAACCATTATCGAATGCAGCTGATCCATACAACTCCCCATCCTCTGCCAAATCGCCTCCCTCGCCTTCCCACCACTGCCAATCTGCGGCGTGCCCCCGCCTCCTCTGATTCCACCCGGCCCAAACCCACCTCCTCCCGACCCAGAAATCGCCTTCATATCCAATGCTGCACTCACACTCTTCATCCCCATTCCCTTATACTTGTTAATCAGCTGATCCATCGCCTGTCTCAGCTCTCCCAAATTGTAAAACACCTGCAGACCAGTCCCAACCTCGGCCTGGTTCAAACCCTCCATCCCTCTCTCCAAAACCTTCATCGCCTCCGTACGCAACTTGTCTCCCGTCTCCTTGACCCACTCGAGCTCGGAATCGACAACATCAATGCCGGCGAGGTCGTACTCGTTGTAAAGAGCTAAGATCTCGCAATGGAGCTGAGCAGCCTTGGCAAGATCGAGGCGGTCGGGGTCATCGGAGGCGAGGGACCGGAGCTTACTGGAGAGGCGTAGGGCTCTGATGGAGTGGTGGAGAAGATCGGAGGAGGCGTGGAGATTTTGGAGCTGGATGGTGAGGGTGCGGATGGAGGCGAGGGGGTCGGAGAGCTCAGATCGGGTGTGGCGGAGGGAGGACTGGAGGGCGGCAACGGAGGATCGAACGGTGGAAAGGGCGTGATCGGCGTGGTGGAGGGAGGAGAGCTGGGCGAGGAGGTCGGAGTGGCGGGAGAGGACCTCGGAGCGGAGCTGAGACTCGAGGAGGCGGATGGCGTGCTGGAGCTTTTCGGCGGTAGAGGCGGGGGAGCCGGAGGAGAGGGCGGCGGAGGAGAAGGTGGTGGAGGAGAAAGAGTGGGAGAGGAAGACAGAGAAGATTGGGTCTGAGGCGAATGTGTCTAAAGGGGATGCGGTGGCGATGGCGGAGGTGGGGGTTGAGGATTTGAAGGTGGAGAGGCGTTGGAGTGGGGAAGCGGAGGAGGAGGCGGGAGATGAAGAAGAAGCCATTTCGGACTCGAGTCTAGACTGTTACTCTAGTTACCCCCCTGAGCCCCCTTTGCTTTTGATGCAACTGTATTTGTCAATGAGAAATGGCAACGAGACTTTCCGTGTCCTTATGAGATTTGTTGTACAATTTTACGAAAGAGTCTCATTTTAAAATAGTCTTTTTGGTATTTCTTTTTATCAATATAAGGCTTTTAAGCTAAAAAAAAGTCTAGCACATGCACAAACAAATTTTGTTGCATCCTGTTTTACCAGACGAAAAGATTTGTCACGCAAGGTGTTACCTAATAAAATCCTATCGTCGCCTTAACCTCAATGCGACAATTCTGTCATAACCTCAAACTTGACATGACGACAAGCCTTTATCCCTTGAACTTTGACACAACAAACGCCTTTTATCTTAATTCCACGTGTCATAAAAAGCCTTATATGATGAAAAATTTTCCTTCGTCGTGTAATTGTTTGCTTCTCGATTTTTGCGTGAGAACATCTGGGCAACAAAGATTTTGTAGCCCCAAAGTTGACGCGACAAAATTCAGCCTTGTGTAACGAACTAGTTTTCCTCGCGAAAACACTTTTCTGTAGCAGTGAGTATTGGTATAGTGATTCTAGACTATAATACACTTCACCGATTTTTGTAGAGAATAATATGACATAATTTTCTCAAAATGTATATAAATTGAGGGTTCAAACCCAGATTAGCAAATATATTAACAATAGTATTATCTAGACATACAGAACTGACATCATCCTTAATAAAATGAACCCTATTACTATGAATGCAATCAGATTTGTGTTTCTAAATATTATTGTTGGGTCTGGTGCATAGTATAAGCACTACACCACCTACAAATTATAACATGTAAAATTATAACACTATGTACAATATCATTCTCGCATTACAAAAATCTCTCTATTTCATGAATAATAGGTTTCATGTAAATTCTTTAAAGTAAAACAGAACTCTCGACATCAAGGTTACATGTTTTTCTCTTTGTTGGTAGACCCGATCAACAAACCCTGGCCTTACCCTCCCCCCACCCACCCACCCACCCCACCACCACCACCACCTCCCCCTCCTCCTTAGGATCATCATGACATTAACCTAGCTACTCTAAACTTCAACCTTTTTCGAATAACCGGATAACCTACTAGACCGAAAAAATATACAAAGAGCGTAAGACTGGAAAAACAAAACGTATACATTGTTCATATTAAACCATAACAGAGTTTATTTTCAAAATTAAAAAAGCAACTGTTACACAAATGAATTCTCAAGGAACCAAAAACCCTAGCCAGTTACATACTTTTATGCCCAATTTTTGGCAAAAAAAAAAAAGCAACAAAAAAACATCAAATTAATACCCCATTATATTCCACAAGGTGTAAAAAAAAAATTAAAAATTAAAGAGTGAAAGAAAGAAGTACGGAGATACAAATTAAGAAATTAATTAACTAATCAGAACGATGAATTATGGAATATAATTAATAGTATAGTAGGTCAGATGTGGCAACCGCAGCAAAGGTAGAAGAAGCAGAGCGTCGAGACCAGAACGACGGCCTCCACGACGGATAGTATCTTGAAGACGACGTCGTCAAGGACGGTGATCTGAAAGTTCACGCGCTTCCATTTGAACACACAGAATTTCCTTGGCCATAACTCTTTGCTGATCACCTTCCTTAACGACCACGCTGCCTTCTCCTTCTTTGTTGTTGCCGGTGAGCTCTTTTGATCATTTTCCATCTCTGAAACGTTGTTGTAGGGTATGGAGTTGATGATTGACTGAGAGGAAGAAGTGTGAGGCGGTGGGTATATATTGAGAGATGGAGGGGAAAGGGTAGTGCTTTAATTGGTTTCTTCATAAACAAAAGAAGGTGGTGCTGGGCCTGCTGGCCGAAGTGATTTCAGGTTTGTGACGAGGCTATTTCTGGAATTTGGTACAAATATTCTAAGTTAAATTTTTTTTTTTCAATTTTCAATAAGACAATCTCAATAAGAATTCAATCATTAACCGTCATGTATGTGATCTACAAAATATGGTTCGAGTAGATGGTTTCTTTAACATTACCCGTCACACATAATAACAACATAAAATTTGATTAATCCAATGTTTATTGAGGAGTAAGTTAATTAATTACTTCTTTAATTTCTTATATTAGCAAGAACACAAGTTTAAGAATGTTGGCAACTTTTCATTTGAACTTCTACCTTCTCATTTGCCGAGTTGATCCATTCACCATGTAAGAAATGTGTTACCTTATTATTTTATTACATTAAACTAGTATATTAAAATAAAAATAATAATAAAATTAATCAAATGCGTTTAATAACCAATTAAAAAAAGATTGAAACTGCTGTCAATTTTGGCAGCAAATGTGAAGTTTGCCAATCTATGTCATAACACATCAAATTTAACTTTTCGATTAAAAAACATTGTTACTGTCTTTTTTTACTAATAATGCTGATCTGGATATTGTAACATCTCTTTTGGAGATGCTTTTAAATTATGCTTGGTTTGCACGTCATGTGATTGGCATCTTCTTAATGAAGTCCACACATTCTCGATGCCTTTTCTTTCTGCAACGGCTCATAAAAAAAAGTTGAAAGTTAGACAAAATCGACATATGTGTTGGTTTCATCTAACAACGGTTTGGTAGGGTGTGGTCCAATTCTATAGTTGTTCGTCCAGTTGGTCAAGGTTATCCAACGGCTACTTTCTTTCTTTTTTTACAAGGGTATAAACAAAGCGAAAATTTTCATTTTTCTTTTTGTTTTTTGATTAAGCAATTTGATTAGTTTTTAAAATTTTTAAAAAGAGTATGAGATAATGATGATGGAATCTCTTAATAAGGGCATACTTTTCTTAATTTTACATAATTACCATTTTGCATTTTTTATGTAAATATTGTGTATCAAAAGTGAGGGTAAAATAGGAAAATAGGGATATGATTGTCATTTTTCAAAAGATACAAATTTGCTATTTTGCCCTCCTCATGTCAACATTATGTATTTAAAAGTGAGGGGCAAAATTGGAAGAAAATGGGACAAAAAGTTGACAAGCCCTCTTCTCTTAATAATATAGAATATAGATAGATTAGAACTTAGAACTGTTCTTCGACCAACTGTTCAAAGAATATTTACCTGGATCCTATCGAGTGTTAAAATGCAAGGTCCACTTCATTATACATGCAAGGCTTGTTGACTTTTGTATAACTGGAAAAATCAACGATTACATATAATATATAAGAGTTTAATATATATTTGCAACAGTTAGGTCATGTATAAAACTCGTAGCATTGAGTCATATGTATCATTGTAGTTTAGACTCTTAATTTTGTTTTGTTCTTGGCTACCTTTTCATTTTAACTCATATCATTTTAGTTTAAGAGGAATGGAGAAACACTTGAAATAGTATATGATCAAGTGACTTGTGTTTTCAGTACACGTAAAACCTTCTCCTTTACTAAGCTAAAACGCTTTGCAAACTTGGAGAGCTTTTGCCGCAATTGATAAGTTTTCCAATTTTCGTGTAAAGTTTTCTTATCAATGCAACATAACATGTTAGATTGTGTTTTTTCACACCTTGTGATGAAACGACTCTTGCAACAAACCGAAATACAATATTAAGAGAGTTTTTTTTTTCCTCTCTAGAGTAAGCAAACCTGACAATAATAAAGGAATTACTAGAACATGAGGCCGGTGTTTGTACAAGATCGCTACATTTCAAGCTTTCTTGCGTTTGAAACAACTAATAATTGACAACTTCTCTTTTAAACTTAATTTATAACTTTTCTTCGTCTTCTTCTTCGTCTAATATTGGAACTTGATTATTTAGATTCTTAGCGTAAAGATGAAATCAGAGACACACATGAATGATGCATCCGATATCTCATTTTACATATACTATAAATATATATTAGATATTCTTGTACCAAATAAGCTATAGACCCTTCTTTTTCGGATTTGAATATGCTCCGGACCTTACTGTCTAGAGCCTAGGAATCAAACAATCTGTGCCACACATTTGTGTGGAAAAGAAATCAGAATTGTTGGTTTGTGTGAGGTGAGTCAGCGAAATGAATTAATGGGAACTGTCAGATTCATTTTGTGTGGCCCGAATTATTTGATCTTTAGAATCCAGACATTAAGGTCCAGAACGGATCCAAATTCTTCTTTTTCCAGTGTTAGGGGTTGTCCATGATGAGATGAGGACTTTGTGTGGATGGTCGGTCAATGTCCAGATAGACTACAGGAATAATATCTTGTAGGAGACAGCCTCATAATTTGGTAGCGACTTCAACCCTTCTTTTTCTGTAAGGGATATCAAGGCTGCAGAGGAATCCTAGTTAGCTGTCTCCAACTGTTCTAAATGAGAGATACTCTCATGTAACCGGTAATGTTATATAGCAAATATTAATTGGATAATTAGGGAAATATTTGAGAACGTATTAAACATTTAATGAGTTAAGTAACCTAGTAAGATTATGCATTGGTTTTAAGAGATAATTTTTCGTTCTGTATGCAAAAACAAGTATCTAATTTCCATCCAAAAAGTAAACATTGTTATTCTCAATTCGTATAAAGTTTCAAATTTCAGAACCTCCTCAATAATCTCCTCAATTACTTGTAATTTGTTATACTTGGGGAAGTGAAACTGCGCGTTAAGAGAAAGCTTGAAACACTTCAACGAAAATACTTAAAGGATTAAGATCTGAGGTGATAGGTGCTTAGGGGGTTATCGGAATGGATGAAAACAAGATTGGTTGAATCACTATATCTAAATCGTTTGTATTCTTGTTTGTTTATTTGCTCGGTGGTAACCAACATTCAAGGTGTGCGATGGATCATCGAGCCTCTAAGAGCAACTCCACCCTTAAAAAAAATGAGCTAGCACTCAGCCAATTTAATCCACTCAGTGAACAGTGATAGACCTCAATGAACAGTAATAGGCCAAATGCATCTCCACCTCTACAAAATGCGCTGGCATCCAGCCCATTTAAAATATTATTAAATTTCTTATAAAATAATAAATAAATAAATTGTTTTAATTTCGGATAGGATTTTTAACTAATCTCATCATGTCACATGTCATTATCATAATAAAATTAC